AACCACTTCTACCAGATTTTAGCATTTTGCATCTTTTATAAAACAATCTTTAGCCTTCACAGACTATATGCATAAAACACCTTAAACCTAAAAAAAAAAAAAAAAAAAAAAAAAAAAAAAAAAGACTCAGAACACTGTCCTTAAATTATTCACGGGAACATGGCATTTCATGTAATTTTCATCTATGCTCTTGGTTTTTGGGTAAAAATAATGGGCTTTTTTGATCTGTTTGGGTTTTTAAGGATCGAAAATCTAAGATTCCTCTTGCATTTTATGGTAATTTTAAAGGAGGAGATATCTATGTGTTTTCCCATAATTGCCCCACCAAATTTCTTTCATCTTAGCTAATTATAGGGGTATTTTCGCCTTTTCACCATTGAAGACAAAATTACATGTCTGCTGAGAGGGGAGACGAGCAGCAGTGATGGAAGAGAGAAAAATCTTAGCCGCAATCAACCCGACCGAGGAGGGGAGTCTTTATAAAATTTGTTTCATTTTGGGATTTTGTTAATGAGTGTTGGTTAATTTTGACTTGAACAGGGTTTTGTGTATGGAGTATGTGCACCAAAATTTTGAGGAAATTGATTGTCAGGAGAAGAAGGATTGCAATGACACTAAGAATATGGACCAACTTTGCTTAACTAACTCCATTAATGGAACTTTTGCTGCATGTTATTGCTTCTCTTGCTTTTTAATCAAACTCTTTTTACTTATATTTTTAGTAATAGCCTCTTATATTATTTGAATGTGGTACTTGATATGTAGTTTGATGCTCAACAGTGGAGTTTTATAGAAATGAGTTCTTATTGAGTAATAGTTTTTTTTGTATTCATTTAAGCTTTACTAATGTTATTCTTTTAATCAAACTCTTTCTACTTTTAATTCTTAGTGCTAGCTAGCTTTTTAACTTTTGTATAATTAAAATCATTCTCTTGATTCATGCTTTTCATATTTAAAAATGAGTTGATTCTTTTTACACTATCATATAGCACAAACAAATAAAAATTCGATGTTAAATATTATTTATTTAAATTAAAATTATTTTAATTAAATAACTTTTAATTAACAAGTAAAACATATTACCTGAATGGTTAACCGGGGTTAAACAAACTAGCACTAAATAACTAACCAGTCAAATAATCTAGGATAACTCCAAGAGTGAGTTTAAAAGCAGGAAGATTTTGTTGGGATTCAATTTCATTAGAAAAGAAGGATCCAAATAAAATGGATTCTGTGGATTTTTTTTTTTTAACAGCAAAAAATTCTGTGCTTCTTCTATTATATTAATTCTTTCTCAAGTTCAAGGACGTACGGCTGTCCATGCGTTTTTTGAAAGGCAAGGCTGTCCATGGTTGAATTAATTTTAGAACTATAAAAAAATCTAAAATTTTATTTTTTTTAGATGAATTAAATCTATAATTAATTAACCCCGCGTATAATTGATAATCTTCCTTAATTTCCAGGAGATTTCTGGACTGCCTTCACATTTTGCACATGGTTTCTTCTGTATATGACTTACTATATATATTATTATATATACAATACGTTCAGAAATATTTAAAAATATGGAATGGAAACATTGGACTCCTGGGTTTGGTTGTCTTTTTCTTGTATTTTAATTTAACAAATCTCAACTTGCCTAGGAAAGAATAATTAATGGAAGTTTTTCAAGTACTGTTAAAAAAAAAAAAGTGGAAGTTTCCAATGTAGAACCGTGTTGAAGAACAAGCAGAGAATCCCCTTCGACAAATTTAGGAATGAATGACCAGGTTCTCGTAAACATATATATAATAGAAGCTGCAACATCAATCCCGAGTACAGAAGCTTTCAGCTGCTCAAGGACTTGCAGTTGCGAAGAATATCGAGATGGTGAGGTATCCAATATCCTTCGAGCAGCAGACATTTCTGAAGAAGGGAACATGGACTGCTGAAGAAGATCGGAAGTTGGTAGCTTATATAAGCAGATATGGCATCTGGAATTGGAATGAAATGCCAAAATGTGCTGGTATATAGGTTTAATTTGTACATTAATTAGTTAGGGTTCATATATATCAATTCTTAATTCGGATTACATGCTTATATAAATGCACTCCTGAATTTGCTGCAGGCCTTTTAAGGACAGGGAAGAGTTGCAGGCTTCGTTGGATGAATTACCTGAGGCCGGGTATAAAGCGCGGGAACTTCACCAAGGAAGAAGAAGAAACCATCCTCAACTTGCATAAGACTATGGGGAATAGGTAAGCTGAAATATGCAGCATATATACAATTGAGCCCTCATGTGTTGCTCAATTGATTAAAAATATAAGATTTCATGTTAGAAATTTTAGGTTTGTATTTAAGTCAGGTAAAAAGATATTAGGAAATTGTTCAAAAAAAAAAAAAAAAAGATATAGGCAAAGAAGAGGGATATGCTATTTTATATAATTCATCATCAGAGTTATATATAAAAAAAAAAAGAATAGAAACCATGACAAATTTCAGATGATTTGTAATTATGGGAATAATCATGTAGCAAACAAATTAATTCTATTTTTTGCTTGCAGATGGGCTGCAATTGCTCAAAGAATGCCACAAAGAACAGACAATGAAATCAAAAACTACTGGAACACACACTTGAAGAAACGGGCAATGGAGAATTCAACTGCTGGTGATGATGGTAATGATTCTAGTGATCAAGCCAAGCAAAAGAATTCTCTTGAACGTAACTCATCTTCCGAGATTGAGTCTTCGCTTCAAGATGCCTCTCGTGATACTGTGTTTCACTCACCAACACTGGGAGATAGTAAACCAGATGGGGGAAATGATTTTGCAAAGCATCATCAAACTGATCATATTACTGAGGAGGAAAATGCAGGTAATTTATCTGACATTTATGGGGAACTCCAAGGTTTGTGGGAGCAGCCAATACCAGAAAACCCAGAGGATTCTCAGACCTTGATCAATGGAAATTTCATGCCAGCAACTTCTCAGTTGTGGCTCTATGAATCCACATTCTTGTGTGATTCCTACTATCCTGATCCCGTTGATGACTTTTGGCTCACTTCATCAATTTAGAGCAAATGTTTATCAAATAGTCCTATATTACGCTTTTATGAGCTACTAACATGCTTTTGAGAAATTACTTAGAATCAGTAGTATCAGTTGTTTAGAGTGGCATTAGTTTTGTATGTATTATTAGCTCAACTAGAATTGCTGTGCAAAAAAAGAAAAAAAAGGCTTAGCTAGAATTAATAAGACTTGATAATATTTTGGTGCCTTTGTTTTGCTTCTCTAATGTCAACCTCCAGCACAGGGAGAGGAAACACAAAAGATTGAGTTTTATTTAAGACACTTATTGATATATTTTTTTATTTAATATATTGTGTAATATATTTATTAAAAATTATTATTTTTTAATTTAAAATTAAAAACAAATAAATTTAAATATAATATTTTGGTGCCTTTGTTTTGCTTCTCTAATGTCAACCTCCAGCACAGGGAGAGGAAACACAAAAGATTGAGTTTTATTTAAGACACTAATTGATATATTTTTTTATTTAATATATTATGTAATATAGTTATAAAAATTTATTATTTTTTAATTTAAAATTAAAAATAAATAAATTTAAATATATAATTATGTACATAATATGTAAAAATTGACTAAATCAATTATA